GTTCAATCTGAACATCCTCCTTTACAAGAAATTATCTTTCCTCATGTATCAACTGAAGTTACCGCTTCTCCTTTCAAACAAGTTTCTGAAGAAAAAAGTGGAAACAGTCCTGGAAAAGTTAATGATATAAAAAATATTCAATTACAAAATAATTTTACAAATATTGTTTTAAATTCTGTTTGTTCTCAACTTTTTAGAATTGAAAGTTACTCAGCTAAGAATGAAAAGAATTCAAATAAAATTGAGAATTTGAAAACAAATTTTGGAGAAATTTTAAAATCAAAAGCCGAAGAAAAAAACATGTTCAACTTCTTTTTAAACCTATTGAACCAAGTCTTTTTCCAAAATTGGGAAAAGATTTAAATTCAGATTTAAAAATCCTTGAAGAACTTACCAAACAATTTTCAAAATCAAGTTCTCTTTCAAAAAAATATCAATACTATTGATTTTGTTGAAAATCTTGGAAATCAATTTATTGAAGAATAACCATTTAAAATTAATAAATTAAAAAATTTCAAATCTTCAAATCTTCCAACTTTTTATCCAAGACCGTCTCATCCTGATCTTCTGCTTGAAGAAAAATCACTTCAACAATTTTCTGAGACTTATTCCGGTAGCGATATCATTGAATGGAATATCGACCGTATGACTGAGTTTCAAATCATTCAAACTATGGAAAAAATGTTTGTCTGTATGGCTGCTTATACTAGCAGAAATATAGATACTCTTACTGTCTGCAATAATCTTATTGTTGGGTTTACTTGTCAACTCAAAGGATGGTGGATTAATTATCTTTTTGAAGAAAATCGACAAGAAATTCTTTAGTCGGTCAAAATTAAAAATGGTAATACAATTTGTGATTGTTTTACTACTCTTGTTTATTCCATAATCAAACATTTTATTGAAACTCCTCAAATTATTCATGATCGATCATCTGAAATATTAATGAATATTTCAAGTCCAAACCTTCATGACTTTAGATGGTATAAAGATATTTTTTAATCTAGAGTTATGATTCGTGATGACTGTAACAATGAATTTTGGAAAGAAAGAT